GCCCACAGGCTTGGGAGTGCGTTGTTCGGCAGCCGGCCCTCGGGCCACGCCGGGGTGGTCACTCCGGGGTCGTTGCGTTTGGCTGCCCGGCGCGGGGGCCCTCGAGAGCCACTCCTCCCCTCCCAGCGCCGTCCAGCGGCGGCCAGGGCTGGGGGCCAGGCTGGGGCCGCCAGTCGCCCTCCGCCCGGCAGTCCTGCGAGAGGGGCGGGGTGGTGCCCGCGCACCCCCATTGGATCCAAGAGGGTCCAATCAACCAGCCAACCTCCAGCCCCTCCTGTAGTTCCCCCCAAGGCTCTCCTGCCCTTTTTTCGTCGGTCTGACCCGCCGTCCCGTCTCTCCCACGCTGCCCCTGCCGCCTCTCCCTCGCGTCCCCTCCCGCCACGTTCGCCTGCTGGTTCCCCTTGCTCTTGGCAATTGCCAGTCGCTGCGTTTTTGGGTATGAGTTGACTGCGGAGTGTCCGCATGCCTGCAGGGCAGATTCGTAGGCAGGCCCAGGATGACGACGCGTATCTCCAGATGTTCCCGATTCATGCCCGTCCAGGTGTACGTGTGTTCCACCCTCGCCTTCATTGAAGCGCCACGGCGAGACATTCCAAGCCCGCACGTGGAGAGGCGCTGCGTCTGTGACCAAGACGGCAATAGGGAGGGAAGGCGAACGGCAGGGTGGAAAAAGCGAGGGAGGGAGGAGCACGGAGGAGCGAGGAAGGGAAAAGCAGGGCAGGCTTCCCAGAAGGGAAGGAGGGACTTCGGGGCTCGATGCTTGCGTTGTTTGTTTTGACGCTCTTGGCCCCTTCTCGGCATGGGGGGGCTCTGCGGGATACCTCTGGGAATCTGCACGGAGACCTCCTGGGCACCCTCTGGGACCTCCGTGGGGAGCGTTTGGGAGGAGCAGGGCGTGCCAACACATCCCTCCTGCCTGGACGCGGTTTGCGTCGTTATGGGAGGGCCTTTCGGCAGTCGATGTGCGTTGGCCGCTAGGGGGCATAACAATTTCGCCTCCAGAGGACCGATATTATCCATGCGCCCACTCAGCCCCCTCGCAAAGTTCTGCTGTGAGCAGTGGCATGGATGAAACGTCGCTCGCCTGGCCTCAGTGGCGCGTCATTTGCAGTTCCTCTTTGCAGCCGCCTCCTCCGCCTCGTCGCCTCCCCCTCTTCTTCCTCCTCCTCCTCCTCGCCTCATTATTGTTGTCGGGGCGGCTGCCCAGCAGGAGGAGGAGGAGGACGAAGAACAGGCAGCCCCTCCCTTCCTCCCCCTCCCCCCCCCTGTGGGAGGAGGAGGAGCAACGGTTTCGCTATGGCGTTCAGGGCTATTCCCGCTTCTGTTGGTTCGGCTGCGTTGGAGTTTGTTGCGTTCGGTTTGGTCTTCAGTTCGGCTGGATGCCTGTCGTTGCTGCATCGCTGCGCTCTTCTACGCTGCTTTTGGCGGGTTGGCTTGGATCGATTTCGATTGCGTTGTCGGTTCGGTAGGTGTTCGGTGTTAGTTTTGCCGTGGTCGGCATTGGCAAACGGTGCCGCCTAAGACACCCTCTAAAACAACACTCCCCCTCCTCGCCCCCTCCCCCACGGTTTGGGTTGGTCATAGAGAGAACAAGCGTGATTTCTAATAAGATTGCCACCCCTGTCCTCCCATCCTGTCTGGGAGGAGGAGGAGGTGGTTGGGATGAGGGGAGGAAGATCATCCGTAACAGTATGGTTGTGGCCCCTCCCCCTTCAATTACGACGTTAATTGATTGCATCGAAAATGTGTTGATGTTGACTGCATGCTCAAGCTTTTGGCTCGGGTGTTGTTTCGGCGCGGCAGGGTGGCATGCATGGAGTCTCAGCTTCTCTTGAATCGGTACAAGCCAACGGACGCAGGAGTTCCGCCTTCTCTTCGGTTTGCTACCTACTGCCTTCTCGTCTTCATTCTTCCCCCCTCCCAATCGGGCTCAATAATACAGTCACTTTGCATGGTAAGGATGGCCACTTTTCCCCAGGGTACCCCTGCATCCTTGCCTCCTCGGTCCATCCTTGGCCACTTTCGTGGGCCGCGCCCCGCCCGCGAAGCTTCGACATGGGCGACCGAGGCCCCCGCATCCTTCTCGCGCCTCCCTGTGGTACGGGTCGACTTCAGCCCGCCCTCCCTTTCCTGCGAAGGCCTCCCCCAGGCGCCGACAGCCCGACAGCCTTTTCGGGTATGGCCAGGACCCCGGGTAAGGGGACACGGTTACTGGTAGGGCCCTGGAGCCCCTGTGTTGGCCAGAGTCACTAGACCAGGTTTGCCGTAGCTCGTCTTTTCTCGGGTGACGGCAGTTCCGGTTAGTGGAATGGGGCGGGGGGTTGTCCCCCAGTACACATCACTAAACCAGGTCCCACTAAACCCGTTTCTGCCAACGCCCGACAGTTGCTGCCCTATCTTGAACAGGACTCGCTGTCCGTGCCGCCGCGGACGTTGTCCAGATTGGAGACAAGAGGCCGCCTGCCCAACGGCGGCCGCTGTCGGTGTTGGACTACACTCGCTGTTGGGCGTCGTACGCATTTTTTCCGTACCCAGGCCGGGCGTCCAAAGCCAGTGCAGTTTAGCTCGGAGGGGGCCTGGGCTTGTCGAGACACAGGTGGTACTCCCGGGCGCTGTCCGCCCCCCAAAAGTCAGAGCAGGGAAAGGGCATCAGTACCGGCACGGCTACCTTTTCCTCGTTTTCGCCTTTGTGGGCCTCCTGGGAGGCCCTCGTCGTCACGGCTGGACTCGCCTCGAAATTCTGGACGGAGTGCACCCAAGAGAAATGTGAGGAGTTCGAAGAAGAAAGGACGGCATAAACATGATTTGTTGGCCCTCCGCGCACATTTCTTGGACCCGCGCTGGGCCCCCCTGGCGGCGCCTCCAGCGCCGCCCTTGGCGCGCTCCGCGGGCCAGGGAGGGAGGCCCAGCGCAGATTCAAGAAATTTGCGTTGAGCGCCAAAAGTTTCCGTTTATGGTGATGGGCCCGATTTCAACCACCACTACCATAGGTAGGAGAGGCAGGAGGAGGAGAAGGAGGAGGAGGAGGACCTCATCCTCCTTCCTCCCACGTCCTACAACTGGTAGGTGTGGTGAAACATTTGCCCATCATGTGGCGTTTTTTTCTTCTTCCAGAGAGGCTCCAGTCCTCGGCGGCGTGCCGTGTGCAGCGCCTCCACTGGCTCCACGCGCGAGTGACTTTTGCCCAGGGCGACCCTCATTGTGCGACCTTCTGGGGGGGCGTCGGGGGGGGGCGGCCAGGCCCACGCACGCAGGCGTAAGTCGGGCCGGTCCTTCTACCGGAGGAATCTTCAAAAATTTGTGCCAAAATAGTCCGGGGACGATGTTTGAATATGTTGAATATTTTTGTTATTTCTTGAGTATATGATTCGTCCACAATCCTGCTGTAGGAGGACAAACGCAGGCCGTTTTGCTGCTGCTTCGCGCGCCCGGATCCACCAGCCGCGCACCAAAAGGGCCACTCTTGGCCCAGGGCCGTTGTTTTCTACCCAGATCCCCCCGCGTCGTTACAAAAGTCACGGCGGGAGGCTTGTCGCTATCCTCGGCTTCCAGGGGCCAATACCTGGCCTCGGGACCGTCAAACAATGACCCAGGATGAAAAACCGATCTCGGGAAAGGGGTCCCGACCTCTCTGAGGGTCGACGTTGTGAGAAATATCACGACGTCGGGGGTCTGGGCACTTTACTTGTCAAGCCACCCCCACTCAAACCGAAGGGGACCACCCCAAATTTTGAATTTTGGGTTGGGTGGTGTACCGGTTCCATCGTGCTTCCTCCGCGTTCTGGAGTGCCCCCCCCAAAAGGAAGTCGACGAGCCCAACGGGCCTCCTTGGGCTGCGTATTCGTTCTGGGGTGTGCCTCTCGCGGGAGGTAGTGTGCTTTTGGGGTGCGAGCGCTGCCTCAAACGCAGTAGTATCGGCGAGCCTTGGGATTGATAGTGTATAACGACGATGTGTTGTCATGATGTTGTTTGTTGATGGTGTCTTGATGCTTGTCATGATGTTGTTTGTTGATGGTTGTCGATGGTTGTTGATGGTTGTCGAGGTTGTTGATGTGAGTACTGAGCAAGTTCGATGTTGTGTTGTCTTCCTCCGAGCTGACCCCCAAGGTGTCGCTCCTAAGGTTTCGGCCTTCAAGGTCCGAACTGACTGTGCTGTGTGGTGTAGCTGCCCAGTGAAGTTGTCCTGCGCTCACTACGTGGCAGGGAAGCAGTGAGACCTGCTGATGGTGTTCCTGCCTCTGGGAGCCCGCCTGAGCTCCTTGCCATTCCACCGCGGAGCATGGTTTCAACACGCACTATCACACACGCCCATCATTTGATGGCGCGGAAAGCGGAACGAAACAACCCGACCGATCAGCACATCTTTGAGCATGCACGCCGTTCAAAGCCAACCCATCTTTTCCTGCGCACTTTCTGAAGTTGCCTTACGAGCGGTGCACGACTGATCAGTAGACTTACGTCTGCAGTGTGCTCGCGATGGGGGAAGATGGTGGGTGTGGCAGGACCGTAGAAATCTTCCGCGGTCTCCCCGCTCCCACTGTAACCGCAATCTTCCCCCCCACCTCTCCCCCCTCCACCTCCTCCTCCTCCTCATTCTCCCTGCTGCTGTTCCTTCTCCTCTCCCCCCACCCTCATCCAGCATCCCGTAATTACGTAATACCCTCGCAGTTCCAGCTTCTCGCGAGAAACCCACAATTCCAAGCAGATCCTCCCCAACCACCACCCTATTGCCTCCTCCACCGCCTCGTCCATCGCGCTCCACGGCCTCTCGCTCCACAGCAACGGTCTTTCCTTTAAGCAGTCACACGTGAACCCAACCCGTGCAGTCCAGAACAAAATCGGCTGGGGGTCAGACTATGTAATGCAGCCAAGCGAGCCCCAGCGGGGGTGTCCGATACCCCAGCATCGATCGCTGCACCCGCAGGGCTCGCTGGGGGTCGCAGGTCCTCCCTCCTCGCTCGCCCGTCTCCCCTGGTGGGGGCCATCGGTGGGGCGCGGAGGAGCTCTCCCATGCACGGGCACGTGGTACCAGCTCAGGAGGCCGCTCTCAGTGCCGAGTTGCGGCGCGGGCCCCAGCTGCGTGGGCGCGGGAGGGAGGAGGAGGAATACGCTCAATAGGACGACGAAGACGAGGGGGAAGACTAAGGGGAGGAGGTGGGGGAGGAGGAGGAGGAGGAGGAGGAGGAGGAGGAGGAGCAGGAAGACCAAGAGGAGGAGGAGGAGGAGGAGGAGGAGGAGGAGGAGGAGGAGGAGGAGGATTGGAGGAGGAATTGGAGGGTTTCAATGGCTCTAGGGCGCGCCTAGCATCCACGCCGCCAGAGCTGGAGCAGCCACGATCGCAGCAATTGAAGCGAGAGTCGCATGAGTGCGCGGGAGGACGGTGAGCTCGCCTTTCAGGAGATATCGAACTTTGGATCTTTATGCTTTGCCCTCCAGTGCTCCTGCCCCCCCCCCAGGGGCGCGAATATCACCCGCGGCCTCGGCTGCGGTGCGAAGATACAGGAAGGTCGCGCGCCTGCTAGGTGGTTCCCCGAAGGTTCTGTGCGCGCGAAGGCTTCATTACTCTGCTACAGAGCGCGTCTTTGGCAGGATGAACACCCAGCGGTAGCACCGATCATTCGATCGGTATGAGGGAGTTGCCTCCTTGCTCCTCCTCCTCCTCCTCCTCCTCCTCCTCCTCTTCCGCTCCTCCTCCTCTTCCGCTCCTCCTGCACGTAAAGAAGCTGGAGAAGTTGGTCTGCTTCATGGCCAGAGGCGCTCATCTGCGTCTTCTGGTATGGCCTTCAACAGGTTGACTTCGTCTTGACATTGTGAAATGTCCGCTCCAGTCGTGAGCAACATCGGGAGATCGATGCTCTTGAGATTTGCAGAGGTATGAATCATCATTTCCGTCTCCCTCGCGCTTGGCTCGCATGCGCCCACCTGCCCCCCACCTCCGCGATCTAGTTGACGGCGACTGGACCAGCGCTCCGCACATGAGCTGCCTCAGCTCCTACAAGCAGCACATGTTGCCGCTTACCACGGAGATCTACAATTTCATGTGGAGTACTTTCGGGCTCTTCTGCCCCGGATTAGGAGGAGGGAGTAGGATCAGGATGCCGTCGCGGAGGATTGAAAGAACGAGCAACATTTATTCTGAAATGTTTTACACTGTTGTTGGCTTTCCTGGAGCGCCCTCGTCTAAATGCCTTGTCACCAAGGCCCAGCCCTTGTCATAATGCCTTCCAGGGGAGGTCCTCGATCGAATGTTTGGGTGGAGGAGGGATGAGGGAGGAGGTGGGTACTGCTGGGCTGAGGAGGTACAAGAGGGGTGTAAGGAGGGGAACTGGAGGCAGTGAGGATATGGGGTGGAGAGAGGGAGGCAGGAGGAAGAAAGAGGAGGAGCATGGACCTCCTACTGGGAGGAGGGTTGTCCAGGCAGGAGTCGTTCGATTTCGCTTTCACAGATGGGCGTCAATTCGATCAACCTTGAATATGCTCGCCCGACTGCCCCTTTAAGCCCTAAGCAACCCACGAAAACGCCCGGAAGCCTTCCAGACCTCACCCTTGAATCCATTCAAACCCCCTGGGCCCCCTTCCTGTCTCATCCTCCCCCATTCCTCCTCTACTCATCCACCGCCTCCCCTATTCGCTGGACGCTGGGATGCGGGTAACACGCGCACACACAGGACACGGGGATGCAGGGCAAGAATACTAGAAGTGGACATGCGGAACAGAAGCACGCACCATGTTCGTGGCTCTGTTCCGACCCCCCCCCCCGCTCGTCCTCCTCGCCCTCCTCCATGGGGAGGGGGGGGAGGGCGGGCGGCGCTGCGCCATGGTGGGGGGGGATTCACACATCCACCCCAGCAGGGAGCGGCAGTCCGCGGCGGAGGTCTTTTTGAGGCCTCTTGGGGACCCTCTGGGGGCCTCTCCTGGGCCTCTTCGGGGTCTCCCCGGGACTCTTGTGAGTTTCTCGGGCGCCTCTTTGAGTGCCCCCCCAGTACTGACCGGCTCCCGAGGAGCGCTCCTGCACGGACGCGCGCGCGGGGACCGCAGCGCCCGCAGGGTGCAGTGGAGCGACTGCCCCATCTGCAAGGTCTGCGGGCGCGGCATGCAGGCGACTGCCGCGCCGCCGAAGGGGAGCAGAGGCAGAAGGAGGAGGAGGAGGAGGAGGAGGAGAAGGAGGAGGAGGAGGAGGAGGAGGAGGAGAAGGAGGAGGAGGAGGATGGGGAGCAGGAGGGGGAGGAGGAGGAGGAGGAGGAGGAGGAGGAGGAGGAGGAGGAGGTCACAGACATCAAGCAAAGGGGAAAGCTCAGGCCTACTTGGCCGCTAGCAGGACATCCATTCTCTTGGACAACACCACTTGCAAGTTCCATCATCGGCTTGTCAGAGGCCTGCTTAACACTGTGTTTGCGGTCAGCTTTCAGGACTGCCAATGTGGAGGAGTCCAATGCCGTTCAACAGACTTTGTGACACACTTTGTTACTTCCAGATTGGCGGCTCAGTTCCTGAATAAGGTCATGTTTTGTTCTCAATCGATTTGAATCCGCGTTTTTATGATAATACGCGCCAGGCCATCGTCAGCATGCCAGTGGCAGAGGCTGATTTTGCTCATGCCCTAGGGATTGTTACTCTCTGCCAGTCCACTCTGCGTTAGGGGATGATGCTGCCGAGCACTTGGCCACGACCCCTGTTGTTGACCCGTTGGTCGACGGCAAACATGTGTTCCCTTTGTTCGCCGGGTCCCAAACCCACGGATTCTGGCAAGTGCGTGGAGCTCCGGGGTTTGCCAGTCCGATGCGAGGGTGCGAACCTGGAGCGGTGCCCGCCACCGACGTCTTGAAGCTCGGATTCCGCCCCACGCTGGCTCGCATCCAGGAGAACTCACCGCTCAGGAACTCGGGTGGTCCCACCCGCTCGATGCCCCGAGGCCGTCGTGCGAGCAGATCATCACGGCACGCCTCAAGACGGTGCTGCCTTCTTTGTGGACGATTGCGCGACAGTTGGGTTCCTTTATTGCTCCAACGCTCCTTGGGCAATATGCGAGTGCCGCTGCTGTTCTCGTCGAGCGCTCTGTTTTTGAGGCCGGCTTGCGACTTCACTTGTCCAAGATTTGTTGTTGATGAGACCTGCTGGAGCAGGTATGAAAGCCATAGGAACATCTGTGTGGGAACGAGGGGCGGAGGTCATGCTCCCGTCGGGTCAGGCGTTCGCCATCCGCCGCACCATCAAGTGTCTGGGCACCATGGTTGCCGACACTGGCTCAATGGCACAAGAAGTCAATCATCGGACGGCTCGTGTGAGAGCCGAGTGCAGGCCCATCCAGAGGCCTCTTGCCAAACGTGAAGCTGTCCCACTCGTGAACAAGATTCGCTAGGGTGAGGCTTACGCTTTGTCGCCCATGCTTTACAATCTGTGCATTTGGAATGAGGTCCCCACGAGGGCCTTTAAGATGTTGCTGAATGCGCAGACGAGGGTTGATCGAGCCGCCCTAGGGCTGCCAATCGGTAATTCCCAAGGCCAACACATTTCACGCAATGAGATCCTATACCGTGCGCGCAGGCTTGACATGAGAGCTGTTCTATCCGTGGCCAGGCTTCGATATCCTGTACGATTGCTGTACAATGCGCCGACGGGCCTTCGACTTGCCCTTGGACCTCTTGCACGCCCACCGCGCAGGTTGGCCACTGCTGGTCGATGCCGGTGCTGCCTGGCTCACCGCTGTTTTGCCAGAAGACAGATCTCTCAGACAGGATCCCTTGAGAGCTGGATTCAGTTCGTCCAGGCCTGCCCCCCAACGTTTCAAGGGCATCCTCAAAGCTGCTGCTACGAGGGCTCTCAGCCACCAAATGGATCATTACGAGCTGCATGATTTTGCGAAGGTTCTCCACCTCGTTTGCCGAGGGACCCAGCTCGAAAAGCAATGGTTGTCAAAACGAGGGGGAGGATGCGGTCAGGTACGTATGCTACGATTGAGGATTACACACTCCTTCCTTCGTTGTTGCTACGCAGTGCATGACAGTCGACAGCACAAAGTGAGGAACAGGCCTGATAGTTAACATGTTCCATGGGGCTGCTTCTAGAGGGCCTCCAGAAACGGCGTGTTCAGGGCAGGCCACGAGCAACTACGCAGAATCTGCCCGACGATGTCCTCCTCCTCCTTTTACTTCTCCTCCTCCTCCTCCTCCTCCTGCTCCTCATCCTCCTTCCTTCTCTCCTCGGATCCATCAGAGTTCTCGCAGTGTCCTGTGGCCTTCCGAGACACTCGCAGGGGGAGGACGGAGAGGAGCGGGGAGGGGGGAAGGGGAACAGGGAGCAGGAATGGGGAGGGGATGAGGGGGAAGGTAAAGGAGGGGAGGATGGTGAGGAGGAGCAGGAGAGGGGGAGGAGGGGGGAGGGGGTGAAAGAGGAGGAGGGATGGAGAGGAGGGAAAGAAGGCGAGGACTGGGAGAGGAGGGGCGGGGAGGAGGGAGTGGGAAGAAGGGGGTAGGAGGGAGTGGGATAATGGAGGACGTAGAAACGAGGAGGGACGGCGGAGGAGGCAGCAGGAGCCGAATGAGGGACTAGGACAGACGGACGTGGGAGGACGGGGGAAGAGGACGTGAGGAAGCAACGTAGCTGACAGGACGTGTTCTATTTTCTCTGAGCCTCGTGGGAGGGCAAGCGCTGCATGCAATGTTCCAAATTCGCGTCTCCGTAATGGCTAGCCCGCGGCCAAGCACGAGGGGCACTGGACCTAGTGCGTCGTGCTGCCAGCTTTGTCGAACGGTGTCCTTTCATCGTGGTTCAGCTGTCCTAACAATTCTTCTTAGCAAGTACCAGTACGTCGTCGCCGTCGCCGTCGCCGCCGCCGTCGTCGTCGTCGTCGTCGTCGTCGTCGGGGGTCACCGTCGTCGTCGTCGTCGTCGTCGTCGTCGTCGTCCTCGTCGTCGTCGTCGTCGACGTTGTCGTCCGTCGTGACCGTCGTGACCGTCGTCGGCGTCGTCGTATTCGTCGTCGCGACGACGACGACGACGACGACGACAACGACGACGACGAAGCGCCCCGCTGCGAGGGGGGTGGAGATTATGCGAGAGAGGAGTGGGAAAGGGAGGAGAGGAACGGAGGGGGGAGGAGGAGGAGGAGGGGGACGAAGAGGACGACGACGATTGAAGCAGCCAAGTGCCATGTGCAACGCATCGCACTCGTTAACCAATTGCTCAGGAAACGATGTTAACAACACGCTCGGGCTACACATCACACATGGTTAAGTTAGAAACCTGCCCAGCTGCACGTAGTTTCAACTAGAATCGAAAGTGCTACAAGCCCGTTCAAAAAGCCAGCAGACAGGGAGATCACGCCAGGCAGGCGCGCGCGATGGAGGCCGTCCTTTAGGCGGCCTTCTTGCCACCCTTGGGAGCAGCACTCTGCTTCGCCAGAGTGCGTGTCACGATGACCTTGGTCTTACCCAAAGCCTCCTTGAGACCAGCAGGGACTAGCTTGGCCTTCAGCTCCAAGAACTTGTCGGTCTCCTCGAGCTGCGCCTGCCCTGCAGTACCAAAAATGATTGCAACGCCTGCGAGGACAGCACTGCCCTTCTTGGCCAACTCCCACGTGTTCATGATGCCGCTCAGGTCGTCCTCGAACTCGGGGTCCTTGTCTGGGTTCGAGATGCCGTGGCCAGTGGCGAACCTCGTGAACCCGACGATGCTCTTGAACAGGTTCGCCCCCTCGTCCTTTAGCTTCTCGCTGGTCGGATGCTTGAAGAGGTTCTTCTTCACAAGGGCCGACGCGAAGCTCTTTTCGTTGATGATGTGGTCGTACTGGGGCACGAGCTTGCGGACGCTTTCGCTACCAGCCGCTAGCTTGGAAACCAGCTGCTTCATGCAAGTCCGAACCAGCCTGGCGTACACGATCTCGGCGGACACAACCCACTTCATGATCGTACTTCCTTTTGTACGCCAAGTGGTGCCCTTCGCCTCCAGGTCGGACATGTCCTTGATCTTGGGGATCGTTGTCTTCAGAGTGTTGAACGCCCTCGTCACATCAAGGCGGAGGCTCATGGAAATGTCGACCATGCTATTGCCAGGATTCAAGAAGCCATGCAGGTACTTGAGCGCAGTCACGGCGTGGGTGACCTCTGACACCGCGCTCATGCATTCCAAGACTGATGCCGTTGACCAGGTCTGTGCAAACTCATCTGTCCCTTCAAAGAGCTTGCAGTTGCATAGTGTAACGTCGGCATCGCCCTTCGTCAAGGACTTGAAAGCGTCGATCTTCACTGCCACTGGGAGCTTAACGTCGACGCCATCCTGGAAGCACTCCGTCTCGGCCTCTGTGAGCGGAACGCTGACGTCGACGATGGCCGCGACAGCTTCGGCGACATCCGTCGGGATGGGGGTGTCGTCGACGATCTCCTTGAGCCGCTCAGCGCGGGACACCTCAATGATCTCGTCCACTGCCCGCATGGTGGCTCCGCTGAGGTACGTGTTAGCATCAACCACAGGCTCGCTTGTACGGAGATTGGAAAGCACATCATGGATGGCAACGATGGGGGCGCTATTAGCCCAAGCCGTGGTCGAAGACTCCAGTGCCTCGCAATCGTCATGTGGGTGCATGAGAAGCGCCTTGCAGCCGATCATGTCTTTATCTCCACCTCTCGTCACAGCGGCCATGATGTCCAAGCCGTCGGGTGCAGCGCTGGCGCAGTCGAGTAGTGCCCTCGCCAATTCTGCCGAAGGCTTCTTGCCCTTCTCAGTCACGCTGCTGTCCAAGGAGTCGTCGAGCGAGGACGCGTCCGCGGCTGAGCTGGACCCAGCGCCAGACTGCGGCGATCGCGATGACTTCAGCCGCGCGAACCCACTGCCAGGAACACCACCATAACGCACCATCGCGTCGATGAGATTGCAATCGAGCTTGATCTTGTCGCCGTGGTCTGTGACAATGGTAAGAATATCCATCAGCCCCTTCACCTGCGGAGAGTCAAGGCCGCTAGACGAGATCGTATCGCGAATGTACTGGATAGACCACTTGACCTTGCCAACCAACTCGACGAGGTCGTTGATCGTGAACGCTGCGTCGTAGTCTTCTGGTTTCGAGTCGAGGCTGCCTTGATCTTCTCTGCGGGCCGGAGAATTCCCACCAGTGGAGCCGAAAGCCTGGGCGCTCGAGTTCAGCAGATCGCCCGTGCGCTTGGCGATGTGGTAGGTGTAGTAGCACAAGACGATGTCAGCACTTGCTACCTTTGTGGTAGCGGTTTGGACCCACTCGTAGATCAGGCTGAGCCGCTCCGACTTGCGAATAGCAGACCACGTGCTCAAAGCCTCCTGGACAGCGAAAGCAGCCTCCTCGATCGCGTTGAAGATCTTAAACTCCGTAACAACGCGGACGTTGTTAATAACAAGATGGGCCGACGCTTGCCCCTCGGTGGGCCCCCCAGTGAAGACGTCCAAGCACAGGCTGACGCCGTCAGTCAAGCAGTGGATTGCGTAAGCCACCCTCTCGTCGCCAGCGTCATCAGCAGCATTTCTCTGCAAGGCGAGCTGCGCTGATGATTGCAACTCCATCCAGGTCGGGTTCCTCTCGTAATGCTTCAGGATGGGCTTCATGCGGGGCGCGCCGAGCACGTGGATGGCATCATTCACATCTGAAGCCTGAGTGCCGAGAGCACCACCGATGATGTCCCTCAGGGCCTTGACCTCTGCTAAGGAGTCCCTCAGGTCCTCGATATGCTGAGCAACTTGTGCTATCTCCTCCATGCACGTGGTAAGCTCATTGATGAATCGAGTGCGCTGGTTGTCGATCTCGCTGAGCTTGGTCTCGCAAATGCGCGCCAGCGCAGTGCCCAGAAAGAACCCCCTGAACCACGCGTCGGGGCTTGAAGCGATAATGCCACGGTATCGAGCCTTCGAGTCTTGAATCATCTCCTCGAGCAGACCTGCGAGACCATTGCTGACCATGGCTTTGGTAGCAGCGTCCAAGCCCATTGACATCACACAACCAGAATTGACAAACTCGCCCTTGAGGCACGTCAGATGGTAGCTATAGTGGGCAGTGATGCGCGCCGTGCGCGACAAGAACGAGCCGAAGGCGGTGAGCTGGGTGCAGAAAGGGTGCAGAAAGACTTCAGCTTATCGTTGCTGTACTTCGCCTTCGGAGGGGCACTGCCAAAACTCACCCCCCCGCCTTGGACGGGGGAGGGAGGGGAGGGGGGGGTAGCCGAGATAAGACGTGGAGGGAGGAGGGGCAAGGAGGATGACGAGGGGCGACGAGGAGGGAGGATGAAGGTGGAACTGGGTAAGGAGGATGGAGGGTAAAGGATGGTGGGGAGGAGATGGAGGAGGATGAGCGGAGGGAGTTGCAAGATAATGGTAACTGGGGTTGAGTAAAACACATGAGAGGGGATGAGGATGGGGAGGAGTAGGAGAGGAGGAGGGGAGGAGGAGATGGTGGATGAGGAGGAGGAGGAGGACGTCGACGGCAGACGGAGGAACTGGAGGATACGGATTATGTGGATGATGATGAGGCTGAGGGGGCAGAGGAGGATGTACGAGGAGGAAATGAGGAGGAAGATGAGGGTTCGGATTCGGATTTGGAACGGTTGCGAAACACTAACCGTCTGACCTGCCTTGCGGGTCGATCTGGCATTCGACTTTCATGGTTTCGAGGCTTTGGCCGCGACCGCCAGGCCCCCTCCTCCTCCTCCTCCTCTCCCCCTCTTCCTCCTCCCCCCCCTCCTCCTCCCTCCTCCTCCTCCTCCGCCTCCTCATCCCTCATCTTCGTCCCTCGTCGTCCGCAGGTTTGTTCTGCCCCCCCCCCACCCCAGCGAACCTTGACGTACTCCCTGCAGCACTTCATGGCGTGCTTGCCCATGGAAAGGCCCTCGGCCCACAGGATCGCCAGCTCCACGATCGACTCCGCGCCAGTGGCCTGCGCCTCGCCCTGCACGCCCCCGACTTCTGTGATGTGAGTTGTGAACGAGGACTCCTTCACATTATTCCAATCGGCCGTCGCGAAGTGGGTGAGGAGCTCCTTGGCGCCGTCCGTGATCACATCGAACTTCACCTCCAGTGGCGTCTTGATCTTCGGGGGCTGCGGGTTGTACGGTTGGATGGCCGTGCAGCTCGCTCCATCTGGCTCGTCGGCACCTCCTCAAAGTAATTTCAGGTCGTTGCTCGAAGTCGTGGGAACAAAGCGTCGAAGCGGTAAGCGAAACTGCGACTGGTCGATCGGGATCTCAACAGACTGCTGGAGCTGCTCGTGCGTCAAGGTCTGGTGGAGCGGCATCAATGCCCCAAGCTGCACGCCTGAGCTTGTGGCAACGCAACGCAACGTTTTCATGCCGTCGTCTGTCAGCATACTTGGACGATCGGACAGCAGCGCGACGACGAACGGGCCAGTGGGGATACCAATGTTCTCGAGCAGCCACTTCAAACTGTCCTTGCGGAGCTTGAACACAACGTCGTCGATCCTGTCCTTGCCCTCCTTCTTCAGCTGGATCCACACCATGAGGTCGAACTCCCAGTCGAGCGTTACCTCGATCTTTGAAAGCTTGCCCTGCCACGTGGTCAAGCTGCCCTCTTCCTTCCTCGTGAGCCTGAAGAGGCCCATGCAGTCCTTGCACCATAAACCTCGACCGTCTGGCAAGCCCCACTCCACAAAGGCTGGTTGAAAGAATGACATCAACACTCCGTACACCCGCCCGCACCCAGGGCAGCCGTTGCGCTCCTTCTTGGCAGGCTCAGGCTCGACGGCGGCGGCGACCGCGAGTTGGCTCCCCTGGGCGGCGGAGTCTGCGGCCCGATCATCTCCAGCATCAGGTTGCGAGAGCTCCGTTCTAAGCTTCCTTCTCTTTGCCAGCCGTGATTCTAGACGGTCGAGACCCAACGACTCAGCAGTCTTCTTCAAGCTTGGGGAGCCTTCGATCCCCTCTTGTTCGAGCATCGCAAGCATCCTGACGAGTAGCGTGAGGTCCGATAGACGAACGCTGGAATAGATTTCAGCGGTCTGAGTTCAGAGCAGGACAGTGTGTCACCTGATATCGGCTAAGCCAAAAAAGGGTACGGAGGAGGGGGAGGTAGGAAGTTGTATGGGCGGGGGGCGTAGGATTCAACCAAGAACGCCACGCACAACGATAGGAGCTCGGGGTCGCGCATAGAAATCAGCACCCAGACGTCAGAAAGACGTGAACGCCCAGGGCCATGACCCTCGAAAATCGACACCCCCCAAGGACTCGGGACTCCAGGATCGTGAACCATTGGCCCATAGCTGCTCTGTCGCCCTTTCAATTCGTTCCCCCTCCTAAGGCACTAGGATTGTGAAGCTGGGGGTCGCTAGACCAGATGGAAGTAGCTGGAGGCCCCGCTGCGTTTACGGTGCTTGAGTAGGTAGTGGGAGGAGGGGGGCCACTAAGCATACCAAGCTGGAGCTGCCAGTGGGGCCTGAGGTGGGCCAGTCAGGTCTGGAGGCGTACACTTAGTCAGATCTGAGGTGCCCTCCCGATGCCTCCCCAGAGGCCCCCCCAGGAGGGGCTTCCAAAACCGCCCGCTCCGTAGAATGGGCACCCCCTCTCAGGCGAAAACGCTAATTCTACACAGTGGCCCCTCTGGGGGGGGCACTGTGTAGAATGTGCCCCCCCTCTCGAGCGAAAACGCCATCAGGAAACACTGATGGCGTTTTCGCTCGAGATGGGGGGCACATTCTACACAGTGGCCCTCCCAGGGAGCCCTGGGTGGCACTGTGTAGAATGTGCCCCCCCTCTCAGGCGAAAACGATGTTTTTTTTTGTTTGAGGGCGTTTTCGCTTGAGAGGGGGGGCACATTCTACACTGTGGCGCCCCCCAAGGCCCTGGGGTGGGCACTGTGTAGAATGTGGCCCCCCTCTCAGGCGAAAACGCCATTATTTTTTTTGAAGGCGTTTTCGCTCGAGAGGGGGGGGGCACATTCTACACGGCGGCTCCTCCAGAGGCGCCACTGTGTAGAAGTAGCGTTTTCGCCTGAGAGGGGGTGCCCATTCTACGGAGCGGGCGGTTTTGGAAGCCCCTCCTGGGGGGGCCTCTGGGGAGGCATCGGGAGGGCACCTCAGATCTGACTAAGTGTACGCCTCCGGACCTGACTGGCCCACCTCAGGTCCCACTGGCAGCTCCAGGTTGGTATACTTAGTGGCTCCCCCTGGTGAGCCCCAGAGCCTCAGGTCTGTACAATGACCCTCACTTGAAAAACCTCCTCTTCTCATTGTCCTGCTCTTCCCTGTCACCCACCTTCCCTCTCCCTGCCCTTCCCCACCTCCCCTCCCACATTCTACCGTGAGCCGCCCTGCTCTCCTTGCCAGCCGTTCTCTTTGCATCGCTCGGCGCATCACCCCGCGCCGCAAGTGAATTCGAGCTCGCCAAGCGCACTGAAGAGCATGCGCGCCAGGGCGATAGAGGATCAGCAAGAGATGAGCCCCTCATCGTCGTCGTCGTCGTCGGGGGTCACCGTCGTCGTCGGGGGTCACCGTCGTCGTCGTCGTCGTCGTCGTCCTCGTCGCCGTCGTCGTCGTCGTCGACGTCGTCATCGTCGTCGTCGTCTTCCTCCTCCTCCCCCTCCCCCTCCCCCTTCCCCCTCCCCTCCCCCTCCTCCTTCTCCCCCTCCCCCTCCTCCCCCTCCTCCACCTCTCATCGAATATTATTCGTCACCTACTTGTCCTTACCTCCCTCCTCCCTCCTAGTAGCAAGTAGCAGCGTGGCTCACCTGTCATGGACTGGGCGCAGAGGGCTGAGAGCACTGAGCCGACGTGCGCTCGAGAGTGGCGCTAATATGGCTTCAACCTGCGCCATGCGTCCCTGTGCGCTCTCTTGGCGGCGTCGTGCGCATCTCGAGGCGCATCTGACGGAGCGATTTCGCCATTGTAGAGCCACCCCAGCAAGTGTTCATCTGCACATTTGGCTCTTACTGCTGCAACGCTAGAGCCTCTGTGGAGCCCGCGCCGCAAGCCGACGGACCTGTCCTTCATGTCTGCGTGATCAGGCCAAGTCGTAATGCGGCTCGGCTTCTGAGACGCCCACGGTTCCAATGAGCACGAGACCCACCCGCAGCAATCTACCGCAGAAGCCGAGACTGCCCGTTGCACAGCAAATCCGTCAGAGTCATCTGGACCAGCAGCCTCGTCGAGAAGTTTCTCGAGTGGTTGGTCATCGGGTAGAGCGACTCCTGCTTCAGGAACCTGGACAGTGACAGGAATCTCTATTGCTTCTTTAACCCCGTCGCGCACGTCATCTTGCACGTCGGCGGGTAGCTGGCCCAGTGCGTCATCCATGTCGTCGGCCTCGTCGCCATCACCCCCAGGTCCTCCATCGTGTTCCCCATGCCCGTCGCAGTCAGGCCCCTTGCCCTCGTCACCGCCGTCGGCGTCACCTTCATCGTTCTCGGCGGTTGTATTCCCAGCCTTGAAGGGGTCCCCAAGCTCGTCCAAGCTCGTCGTCGCCGAGGCGCCCTTGGACGTACGACCAGCTCCAGCGTCCGCAGGTGCCGCCCTCTTGACCTCGATCGGATCGCCGACTCCAGTAATATCCATGTGCAAGAGGTCGTCAATGTCGCACACAATCGAGTAGTCAAGGGGGAACACCTTGATGAAGCCACAGTCGGCATCAGACAAGTCGGAGGCCAGCTCATCACTTGTTGCTACTTCCAGCGACGAATACGATGGCGATATACGGCTGCGCCCGATTATCATCCTGACCCGAAAAGGCGTGAATGGCAATGTCATCTGGAACGTGTATGGAACTTTATCTGATAGTGAGCACTTGACGTAATACTGCATCTTGGACTTTTGCCGAAAGTCGCCAAGCAACACGATCACGTCTCGCCCTCGAATCGGGCAAGTATCGCCGCGTGTACGATACGACCTGATGCACGCCAGCGCCGATGACGATTCCGCAATACTCCTCGGCAGGTAGTCGGTCCACTTGTTCAGGTAGCCAAGGAACCTTTCCAGTGTCCGCGCTCGTTCGGGCTTGACCCCATGATCTCGACAGATGTTCTTCTTCTTGTAACAGCAGCCCAGCACGTGAGATCCCCAGGAGTGTTTTCCTTGAATTGCGGGCCGTTCAACCATGGTGCACACCTCGTAGTTATCTGGATGAGTGGCCGACTGCTTTGCATAGGGGCGCGCGCCCTTCTGCTGGTACAACAGATCACTGACCAGCTGGGGGTCGACCACATGGTGCCTTGATCTGCTTGACCCCCACAGAGGTACGAAGACGGTCTTCTCGTCCCTGCCCCGCTTCGGCTGGTTAACGATGGCTTGGCTCTGGGTGGTGAGCCTGCTCGCTTTGAAGACCATGCGCCATGCGTTGTACGCTGTCTCGTCAGCTTCGATGTGGGCCCACTCCTTCTCGATGATCTGATGTAGGTGTTCCAGTGTATCGCCCGACAATGGAGAAGTCGGCGAGTGATGCTTCTTATATGTAGAAAGCTTCATGTTATGAAACATCATCCAAGGGTTCCCACCAACCTTGGGAGTAACTCACGCGCCTGCTGTAGGTTCAAGCGCCGCCAGTGCAGTACACGACGATGCACTCCTATTGCGCTTGCGGTCCAGAACATCAGGAAGATCGATGGGCGCCTTAGCTGGATCAGACCCATGGCGTTGTAGGTGATGCTTCTTGGCCTGCTGGACCACGGACCTGTCGCTAGCAATCTCGAAGTTCACCGCGGGGCCCTCGCACGTCACGTCCTTCCTCATGGTCGCGTGTAAGCGCTCCAAGTCGTCGATGGACACAGGTGTTTCGGACCACGCTGCTATTATGGGCTTCGCATGCTTGAGGAATCGTTGTGGCGTCGACCATTTCTGCCGAATGCGCTGCAACCAAAGGGGCAAGCACTGTATATTGATAGCGAACATGTCCCTGACGACCCTCAGCTTGTCTTGCTCAGTGACGTGGCCATCCAGAAGGTCGATCAAGGTATAAGGAGCGAAAGCGTACCGAATCTCGAAGTGGTCCTTGAGACCTGGGGCTGGGCATCCCAAATACACGCGCATGTGCAATATGCATATACATAGGGTTGTTGGTGCACTGTACCCCGCCACGATTTTGGCTCAAAAGGCAACCCGGAAACATCAACAAAAACCCGTGGGAAATCGTGGTCATCATATTATTCCTCCTCCCGCTTCCCCTCCCTCCCCCAGTACCCCCCTCCTCTGTTTCAGTCTCCTCCACGTCTTAGACCTCATAGTATTTGTCCTGATCCTCTGCCACTCCCCTCCTCCATCCCACCCTCCTCCACCGCTTCCACCGTCGCAATCCTGCTCCTCCTCTTGCCCTCCTCTCTTCTCAACCCCCATCCTCCTCGACGTCGTGCTCGCGACCATCATCGCATCCTCGTCCCTGCCCTCATCCGAACCAGTATCGGTTTCCCTCTACTCATCATCCTCCCTCTGAGCCTGATCATTATGGTCCCTCCTCATGCTCCTCCTGCCCCCCTCCTCGCCTGCCTCCTCATCCTCCTCGTTCTGATATCGTCCCGTGTCCTGTGATCGATTGGATGAGCTGCCTGCGCACGAACATTCGGATCGTCGGGTCGTCGAGCGTCGCGCCCATCAGCGTGATGAGCTCCCCGTGCTGGCTGGCCCCGTCGAAGACGAACCTACCAGTGAAGTCCTCGATGGCGAGCGCGATGGGGGAGCTCTGGGTGTAGCACAGGTCCTTGAGCGTTGCGGTAGGTCTCCCAAGACGCGACGCCTGGGGCGATAGGGGGGAGCGGAATGGACGCGGGGCATCGGGGGTAGCCAGGGCAGTCGGCAGAAGGGGGGGCGAAGCGAGCACAGTGTCCGCCCCTCCCCCCCCCCTCTCTCCCCCCAGTCCTCCTCGGGGCCCTCCTCCACCCCTATCTTCATATGCCTCCTCACTCATCCGTCGTGCCCCTCCCCTCCCTCAATCTACCTCCCTCCTCACCTCCTTCATCATCGTCGTCGTTTTTGTTGAGCAGCCCGAGGGCCTTGCCCAATATAGCGTACAGCAGCCCATCGAGCGTGCCGTGAGTGATGCACATGGCTGCCAACTGCCACCCAGAGTCCTCGGTGGCGATCCCCTTGCAGATGCGCACGAGCTTCAGCTTGTTCTTGGCGTGGAAGTCGTCCTCGTTCCTCGCGATGAGGTTGGCCAAGTATGCTTCGACCGAGTTGTCCAAGCTCCATCCCTTCATGAGCCTGGTCAGTGCATCTGCCAGCAGCGGCTGCACCAGGACGATGCGCCGAAGCGTGCTCCCAACCTGTGTCCACCTGCTCTCGCAGCAGTTGGCCCATGCACGGCTCGTGACCCAATTCATGATTACGTCGGCACACTTGCGCGCTGCTTGGGCTTTGTCTTCGCAACAACGGCACCCAATTGGAATCCCCTGGACAACGTGCTCGTCGGAGTCCTCCGTGACGTAGCAGTAATGCGCAAGGCGGAGCCGCCCATCGACTCCGACGCGCACCATCTTACTCACCGCAGTGAGCGCGACCTGTTGCGCCGTCGGCTGTATGTTGCCTTCCCGATCTGTAGTGTGCAGTGCGCTCCGTGCTTCCTCGCTGTTGTAGAGTGCCGCCACCAACCGCTCACTGGCCTCATCGTGGTCAACTGGAGGGGCAGTTTCGCGGTATGCCAGCCGTTCCTCGCAGACTTGTCGGAGGTGCACGAGCAACTCCGACATGTTCTTCTCAATCCGCAGGAACCGTGCCAACGAGTTCAGCGCTCCGATGGCCTTGACCGCGTCCCTGTCCCGCACTTTGACAAGGTTGCAGCCGTGGGCCATGCAGACCTCAGCACATGGCAGGATATTCAGTGGAAGGCTTTTGTAGATCATGTCGTACATCCATCCAATGACGACGAAGTTAGAGCCAGCCCTGTCGACGCAAAAGGTCATCATCACAAAGTCCGTCTGGCAAGCGATCTCCTGCATGCGCCTGATGTCCATCAGTGGCACGGCCATGCCCTTCAGAACACCCTCGATCAAGTACGGCGCGCTGGTGCGAGACAGCCCCAAAGGACGGATCAGCCAGGGCTCGTCGCACCGCTCCGTCGAGTCACCCTTGAACGTCAAGTGCGTGACTGCCCCAGTTTGGACCATGACCTGCACCGTTGAACCACCCTTGTTCCGTTTCACAGGCCCGTGGTTGGTTTTTTTCTCCCGGCTCGCTGCGACGTCTCGTCCCACCGCTGGCTCACAACCATGACGGTAAGAGCGTCGCTGACAACCGAAAGGGGGTCCTTGAACATCGATTCGTCCATGTCGCACAAGTCAACGTCACGACGTTGATGCGAACACTTGTTCTTCAGGGCGTCGTTCTGCACAGTCAGGACGACCTCAGCCATAGCATGAACGGCTCGACCTTGAGAATGCCGTTGCTGAATGAAGTTTCCTCGGAGCCTCGGTTGGAACGCGAGCCTGGCCATGAGTTGGCCTCGTAGAAGGGGTGGTACTCGACCGTGGCTGCCGCTCAACTTGATGAGCTGCTTTGCCAGGGGGCATTCCGATGCCACGCAATCGACGAGCTGTTTGGCAGCAGCTTTCGCGGCAGCTGCCTCGTCCATCATGCGGTTCACCCTCTTCTCCTTTGTTGCTGCCCGAGAAGCCTCCAATAGCTCAGCTGATCTCTGTCCGTACACCGCCTTGCGCTTGCACGGGCGGGCTTCGACTATAACGTGAAGCTCCTGAAACAACTCAAGCTCCTTGTCGACATCAAGAAGCTCATGCAAACGAGCGTCGTCGTCCCCTGGTGAGTCCATACAGGGCTCGCCCAAACCAGGAGGCGCGATGCAGAGAAGCTCGAGCCCAAGCACCTATGGAGGGGCTGAGGGGCAAGCAGGGTGAGGGGGATGAGAAAGGGTTATAAGGGAGGGGAAGGATAAAGATTTGGTTGGTCATATATCCCATCTCCCCTGCTCTACTCGTTATGTCTCCCCACGCGCCTTTCCCTTCCCCTTCCTGCCCACACGTCATCTCTCCCATGCCCCCCCCCACCACTCGTCACTCGTCGCCGCTATCGCCACGCACGTCACCCCTTTCCCTCCCTGCCTGTTGCCTCCCCCTCCCTCTCCCCTCGAGAGGCCCCAAGAGCAAAAACAATAGAGAAGAGGGGGGTCATGAGGGGGGGAGGAAGAGGGGGAGGAGGGAGGAGGAGGAGGAGGACAGAAGAGGAGGAGGGAGGAGGGATGAGGTAACGAAGACTCAGGAGGAGAGCGGACGAAGCAGACTTTTGCTGCAGTGAAAAGTGTCGAGCGCACACCCTAGCAAACTAGAGCGCGCCGCGTGCGAGCAGCAACGCACAAAACGTCATGCCGAGGCAAAGGGGAAAGGGAGCACAACGGCCGACCAACAGCCAATGCACCAAACCCAAGCGAACCAAATCCCCAAACACGAGCTCAAGTAAAAAACAAACACAGATATGACTAATCTCCTGGATTTTTTGTCCAAAGCCGCAACGGCAAGGGGGGGGCACTAAGTAGACGAAAAAGATTCTACGTAGTCGCCTCCCTGTGGGTCCTCTCAGAGGCCTCCTATAGAGAGGCCCCAGAGCAGCCCACCTGAACATCTCAACCTGATAGTATTTGTGCGGGACGGGATGTCCCTTCTGTCTCCGCGAACATCACACGCCCAATCGATTGCTCGCCGACGTAAAGTGGGTGACGAAGTGCAGGAATCTCTGGAGGAGCCATCCAGTGCGAGCGAGCCCTGATGAAATCAGGGAATGGAGGGCGTTGGGATTGGCCATCCAGGCGGAAAGACGGAGAACAGGGCGTCCTGATAATTTTGCCGAGCGCCCAGATTGTCGCTTTCATGGGCCATCCGTTCACGTGCCATAACTTGTGCAGCCACCGGTCCCGAAAATCTGGCCCACCATCAGTGCCAGGGACGTTCAGTCCCAAGAGGAGGCGGGACCGCCTCGGGAGTTCCTCTCGCCTTTCCAGGTGCGCGACAACTCTAGATTATTCTTCTTAATGAGGAGGTTTCAACTCCGGGGCCTTTCAGTTCAAGGCTTTGGCCTGTGTGGCTCCTGGAGTTTTCTGTCTTGAAATCGACCCTCACAAAATGAGGGAAGTTTGGGTGCCCCTGGCCTTGGGAGGTTCTGTTGTGGGTTGGTTGATGGAGCTCCCCTGCCTCTCGCGGGCCACTCCCAGCAGCGCGCCTCGTGGAGAGCTCAAACCGCCTGCCCGCAGCCTCAGGACTGACGCCGGGCCGTGGGGGGCGAGGGACCTGGGGCCGAAAGAGCGGGAGACCGTCACCACTGAAATCGTGCCCTCAGGTTCGCCATCAGGATGCTCCACTTCGGGTGGAGCAATTCTTTCCCGGCTGTGCTTGACCATCCCTTCCCTCGCCCGCCAGGCCGCCGATAGGTGCCCTGCCCGAGGAGCAGGAGATAATGGGAAGGGGAGGTACCCAGGTTTGGTCGGGGACGACCCGCCTCCTCTCCTGCCTGTTTTCTCCCACGCAGGCAGTGTTGTTCAGCAGGGGTGGGATTCGCTGGCTTGCGAGAGCGGCCTGTCCAGCAAAGCCTGCAGAGGCAGCGGCCCGAGGCCGTCGGCCATCGCCGATCCGCGTGGTCAGCGTGCCGCTCGGACTGTGAGCGGCACCGAGGTTGCCCTTGGGAGTGAAGAAAACCACTCTTTGGAGATTGAAGTCGACGCCGGATGTCCTCTCCTCCCTCCCGTGCGCTGGTCTGTTTACCCGCCCCCCCTTTTTCCTTGCATCATCCCATGAGTTTTGGATCGGCAGCGGAACTCTGATGTCGTTCGGTCGTGAGTGAGTGAGTGCGTTAGTGAGGAGGACGACGACGAGGAGGACGACGGGGAGGATTAAGAGGAGGAGGAGGGAGCAGCAGAGGGAGGAGGGCTATCATGAGAAGGAACATAAGTACGAGGAAATGGCACATAACATAACGAAGGGAAGAACGAGAGAGTGGGAGGGCGCGCGAGACGACGAAAACGCGAATGCGAAGACGACGTCTGCCGCGCCCGCCGCCGCCCCCCAGCGGAGGGGGCACCTTTCATCATGGGCCATGTAAGGGGGGGATCGCCTCAGGGGGCGGGGGCGCATCGACACCCGATCGCCCAGTCATCGCCGGTAGGGGCCGGATGGCTCAGACACGCCAGGGAGTGCGGATTCGCTATCGGGGGCCTCTTGTGCGCATCAATCGGCGATGTATCGCCGATTCTGGCTCGAGGCCCCCCTCCTGCGTTGGTCCTAGCGTTGCCCTCCTGAGGTTTGGGTCAGCTTCGAGGGGCGTGGAAGTAATCGCGCCTATTGTGTCGGGCCCGAGCGGGTGAGCCCTCATCCGCAGGGCGGTGACGCGAGGGCGCGAAGATAGCCGCGCGTCGCGTTGCGCTCTGGTCGCAGTGCGCGTGGCGTGGGGTCGGAGCTCGGGCGACCTGGGGGGGAGAAGGTGGGTTCCGGCCCAAGGCTCCTCCCTTCCTCTGCCAACTTGGGCATTTCCAAGCGGCGCGGTGACCACACCATGTGTTGAGTCAGGGGGGACTCGAGGTCTCCGCAGGGTTTTGGTTCTGGGTCGTTATCCGAGAATGTCTCGGGAACCTGTGGCCACCATGGTCCCAGAACCGTATGGTGACAGACCGTGCGGTGAGGTCGATGGGGGTTCCGAGGTCACCGCGCGGTCTGTCATCACGCGGCGCTGGGACCGCCAATCCTCCTTTTGTCGCCCTCGTGCCCCTTATTCACAGACATCCGGCTGCTCCAATTTTTTCGGTGCGTCGGCCGACGGAGGAATAGGAAGGGTGGAGGAGGGCTACGGGCAGGATGAGGGCAGGAGGCGCCCGATGCCCCGCCCCGACACGTCGACGCAGGCAGGCTTCGGCGAGCATACTGCGGGGCAGGCGCACTTCAAGCACCTGAGGTGGCTGCAGGAGGCGGCGGGAGCGGGGGCCCGAGGGGGCGGGGCACGAGCGGATAGCGGAGGAGGGAGTGAGAACAGGGCGGAGGGCCGAGGAGGGGGTTGGAGGAGGAGGAGGAGGAACCGTTGACGCAGGAGGTAAGGAGAGGAGAGGGGGATCAGACACGCTGGGTGCGTTCGCGCCATATCTGACACCCCACCCCTCCCGCCCATCCCTTTCCACTGCGGTGTGTTTTTGGGGAAAGGTAGGGAGGTAGCGGATGATTTGGGGGATGGGAGATGCGGGGAGGATGGGGAGGACCACCAGGAGAGCGAGAGGAAGGCCAAATAAAGATTGCCCAGGAGTTGACGGGGAAGAGAAGGAGGAGGGTGAGGACGGTACAAAGAGGATAATGAGGGACTGACGGAGGAACGAACATGTTGGATATTGGGAACAATTTCGCGAGGATGGATTGTCTTGCACGCCGATCCCACTCGATGTTGTTCGGTGCTCATGTTGTTTGTGGAGCGCTGTGTTAGAAGCAGTGCTGACATCAGGACATCAAGACATCATGATGCTTCATGTAGATCTGAGGTGATCACAGCGGTCTCAGGAGGTCCAGGGCGCCTTCAGGGGTCCCCGAGAAGGTGGATGAGCATGAGAATGGACGAGAGTGAGGGAGGGGATGACTACGCAGATATGAGGAGGGAGGAGTAGGACGAGGCGGCCATGTCGCTGACCACATGTGGTCGTCGGCGTTCCACATGGGTGCTTAGAGCCACCCTTCCTACGGAGGGCACCCCGCGGAGGCGGACACGCGCTTCAAAGGTGTGTGCAGGGGTGGCGAAGGAGGCAGAATGGACGGGCGGTGGATCCATGGATGGACGGACGGACGTACGGATTGACGGACCGATTGATGATGAGGATGAGGATGATGATAATGATGATAATGATGATGATGATGATGATGATGATGATGATGATACTGATGATGTTGATGTTGGTGCTAATGTTGAGGTTGACGTTGGTGACCATGTTGATGATTAATTTGACGATGATGCTGATGATGAGGATGAGGATGAGGATGATGATGATGGTGATGCTGATGATGACGGTGATGGTGATATTGATGATGATGATGATGTTGATGTTGGTGCTGATGATGCTTATGCTCATGAGTTTGGTTATTTTGATAATGATGGTGTTGCTGATGGTGAGGGTGTTGGTGGTGGTGACGATGATGTTGATGCCGAGGATGCTGCCGATGGTGACGGTGATGGTGATGGTGATGGTGATGGTGGTAATGCTGACATGATGGTGATGGCGGTGCTGACAGAGATGCTGCTGATGCTATTGCTAATGGTCTTGATGATGGTATTGATGCTGTTAATGGTGCTGTGGATGATGATGCCGATTCTGCTCATGATGCTGATATGATGACGATTATGCTGGTGATGACGATGGTGAACATGATGACGATGACGTTGACGATGCTGATGACGATGATGATGATGATGATGATGCTGTTGATGCTATTGCGTATGATGATGGTCATGGTGATGAGAAGTGCGTTGATGGTGATGAGTATGATGTTGATGATCATGACGAGTTTGACGATGGTGGTTTGCGGTTTGATGTTGATGATCATGATGATGATGATGATGATGATGATGATGATGATGATGATGATGATGATGATGAAGATGATGAAACATATGCTGATGATGTTGACGATGCTGATGCTGATGATGATGATGATGATGATGATGATGATGATGATGATGATGATGATGATGCTGACGATGATGATGATGGCTGATAATGGTGGTGGCGGTGATGGTGGTAGCCGTAGGTATGATGATGTTGATGATGATGAGGAGGAGGAGGAGGAGGATGGTGATGGTGCTGGTGATGGTGATGGTGCTGTTGATGGTGATTGTGGTGTTGATGGTGATGATGCTTATGATGAGGAGGAGGAGGAGGAGGAGGAGGAGGAGGAGGAGGAGGGTGAGAAGGAGGAGGAAGGAGGATGGATGATTTGAGGATTGTGAGGAAAGATGAGAGGGGGGAAGAAGCTGGCGGAGGGAGGAGGAGGAGGAGGGGGAGGAGGAGGAGGGTAAGGAGGAGTTGGGTCAGGAAGGAGCATGCGCCAGATCAATATCCCTCGCAAGCGCTGGCAGGAGGAGGAAGACGTCATCATAGTTAGGGGGAGGAGGGAGCGACGGAGAGAGGGAGGGAGGGAGGATAGGAGAGGGAGGAGGAGGAGGACGAGACGGAGTAAGCAGAGAAGGAAGGAGAGGAGGTGGAATCGATGGAGGGAAAGGGAGGCAAGGATTAGGAGGAGGAGGAGGAGGACGGAAGAGGCGGAGCAGGGGTTGAAGTGGAGTGGGAGTTCATGGATGGGTTGCGCGGGGGGACACCTGAACTTTCGGAACAGCGTCTCGCGGAGCTTGGACGGGAGCACCGTGTCGCCTACCCTGCGGACGACGCACGACGCGTCCCATCTCGCGCCACGCACAGTCCATGTTGAGAAGCATGCGTCGACTTTTTTGAGTAGTAGGGAGACTATGACGAGGAGGAGGAGGAGGACGGAGGAGGTCGAGGAGGCGGAGGAGGAGGAGGAGGAGGAGGCGGCAGAGGAGAAGGAGGATGAGGAGGCTGAGGAGGGACGGGGCTGGGAAGATCAGGACGAGGCGGCCGACGAGGAGGAAGAATTAGAGGAGGAGCATGCTGCGGAAAAGGAGGAGGACACGGTGCGGGGGGGGAGGGAGCCCGGCGGAGCGAGGAGCAGCAGCCGGAGGCTGGGTGTGGGAGCGGCGGATGGATGGAAGAGAGGTGGAAACGGAGAAGGACGAGGAAAAGGAGGTGGAAGAAAACACGAGGAGGAGGAGGAGGAGGAGGAGGAGAAGGTGGAAACGGAGGAGGACGAGGAAAAGGAGGAGGAAGAAAACACGAGGAGGAGGAGGAGGAGGAGGAGGAGGAGGAGGAGGGGGAGGAGGAGGAGCTCAAGGACGAGCAGCAGCAGCAGCTGCATGGACCTCCGAGAGCCTTGGGCCGGACCCGCCCACCCATCCCGCCGCCCAGGTGTGCTCGCGAGACGTCAACACCTACTGGCAGAAGCTGTGCGTCCCCGGCGGCGGCTACAGGTTCAACCACGCCACTGGTGAGCTGCAGGTGTGCAGGTCGGAGCAGGGCCAGTCGAGACAACGGCGGCGTTCCTGGGCGTGTGCCGTCCCTCTTGGGCCTCCTCGAGGCTTCTCTTCGCCACGGCTCAGGCCGCCTCGAAAAGCGGGCCAGGGCGGACCCTGAGAGGGGGTCTGGGAACCGCTTTTGAGCGGATGCAGGTTCGGCGGGAGAGCCGCAGTTGTGTCAATTGGCCTGCCTCCGTGCAGGGTCAATCCAGGCGAAAGTTTGCCAGGACATCGTGTTTATCCTCTCTGCAATAGTCGGTGCCGGACAACAAAACAACATGAACAGCATATTTTTCCGAGATCCGCGCGCAGTTCTCGGATCGATGTTGGACCCCCCCTTGGCGGCGCTTTCGGCGCCGTCCTTGGCACGCTCTGCGTGCCAGGGAGGGGGGTCTGGTGTATAACCGAACAGACACAACTACATTGTCACACACATGCGCGACTCGGTTTCTCTCACTCTTTCTATCGTGTGTTTTGTGTTATTTCTCTCTCGATTTTTGTTTCTGAACATGCATGTTTGTATATACTCACATATATGTCGGCGGTGCCCCGTGGCACGACCACCCCCCAGTACTACCGGGGTTTCGGTGCAGGCCGCACCGGGTGCCGCCGAGGCTCAGAACCCCCCCCTGTCCTTTTACCACGGGGTTTCGTGCAGGCCGCTCTGGGGGGTGCTTAGACCTGGACCCCCCCCCCCCATGTGGGAGGGGAGTAGGGGGGTGGTAGGGGTGGGTGGGGATGGGGTGGGGGTGCGGGTGGGGCGGGGGTTCTCTGTGGAGGTGTGGTGTCTTTGAACACCCTTGGGGTCCAGTCGAGCCAGTCGTGCATACCGGGTGGGGTTCGTGCATACCCTGGGGTCTTCGTGCTTACTGGGGGTTTTGTGCCGGCTACCGGGGGGGTTCGTGCTTACGGGGGGGGTTCGTGCCGGCTCGCACCGGCGGTGTCGCCGGCTCGAACCCTCCGAAGATGTAGTTTACTGGAGGGGGGGTCGCTCCGCACCGGGCACCGCCGACGTATGTAAATGTATATATTATTACATCGGCGCATGTTCGCACACACACACACACACACGCACACACACGCGAGCACAATGTAATGTAGGAAGGACACATGCGAACGCATGAGTGTCGCTCAGGCAGCGAGAGCCATATGCCAAGATGCCATGTGGACGTGTGGGTGTGCCATGCTGTGGCGCTTCGGTTGGTAAGTCTGTAGGCCACACATGCATGTCGGTTCTCTCAGGTCACGGAAACGTTTGTGTTGATATCAACTGAATTTTCTCGAATCGCTTGGAACCGCCAGGGGGCGGTGCACGTAAGGCAAGGGGTTGTGCCATGTCGACCGTGCGGTGACCGGTGTAGGCTGAAATCTCGATTCGCTTCGAGTGCCTTGGAGGGTGAAAGTGGGGGTTGGGCGCAGGGTTCCGGCAATGATGTCTTCATGGGCCATGACTGGGCGATACATCCTCGATTGCTGTGTTCGGCGGGGGAACCAATTGAAGCCCCCCGCCTGCGCCCATGCGCGAGACTTGAAAGGGAAGGAAGCAAAGGGGCGGGGGGCTCGGGAAAGGCGACGAAGGCAACGTGCGCCGAGGGCGCAAGAAGAAAAAGGCTGGAACAAACGAAAGCGGTCAGGTGAGTGTCGAAATCTGCCCAGCCAATCTGACATGTGGAACACTGCGCCTCTGTGTTGGGGATCTTGAAGGCCAGGGCAAAATGTGAATTCACATTGTGGGGAAAGCAAAATGTGAATTCACATTTTGGGAAAAAGGAGCACTTGAATTCACATTTTGGAGGAAAGGAAAAATGTGAATTCACATTTTGGAATTTTGTGTAGGATTCTTTATGAAGGGGCCAGAAAGTGAATTCACATTTTGGGGAAAAGGAAAATGTGAATTCACATTTTGGGAAAATGGAAATGTGAATTCACATTTTGGGAGAAACGCGGGATCCATTCCAAATCTGTCTGGGGGGTCGAGACGTCATCGTTTGGGAACATACGCGATCATCAATCGCACAATCAAGACACACTTGCACTCCACTTCGCCGCCCCACGCGCAATATGTGCAAGAACGTCCGCACGCATGAATGATAATGGATGGACGGCGCGTGTGCCCGCGCGGGCAACGCGCGGGCACGAACGTATGGCCCTCAATGGCCGCCAACATTGGATGCCAATCGTACCCGATCACATACATGAACGATACATTGAGCATACATGGGCCATTCAGCCCCCATTGAAGACCCCCTGTTGCAGACCCCCTCTTTCACCCTAGGGCCTGGCCAATCTTCGGGACGTGGCAGGGAACCGCACTCACATCGAGGCTGCACGGGGGTATCTGGAGTCCCCTGGAGGCCCTCGATCTTCGGACCCTCCCCCTAGAGGGGGAGAAGCTCGACCAGGGGCAAGGCCGGCATACTTGCCCTTTCCTCGGGCTCCTCTGGATTCGGGCATTGTGCTGTGGCCCTGCGGAGGAAGGGGAGTAGGAGGATGATGGTGAGGAGGATGACGGGATGCATGAGCAACCTGGGGGCGAAATTTGAGTTTCGGGCTCATGTATTTCAAGGTGCACTCCTCGGTTGACCTCAAGACATGTACTTGAGAGGCTCAATTCCACTCCTTCGATCCCCAGAAGAGGGAATGTATGCGGCTTACGAATTCGTATATGTCGTTTGCTATGTCCCGTCGTGCTGCTTGAGTGCTGTTGTTGCCGAGTTGTCATCCTCCTCCTCCGAGTCATTGTCATTGGTAACGCTCCCCCGCCTTTCACACTGTTGCGCCGCCGTCCCCTGCAACAAAGGCTTGGCGGCGCCCGTATTGACACTAATATGCATTTGCAGTTATTTCTGCTGATAGGTGAGAAAGCACGCGCGCTCGCCCGCCCTCCCTTTGGTCGGCTGGCACGTACGCACACACACACACACTTCTATTATAGTAGATTCGCTAATTTACTGGATCAGATCCCCTTGTCTAAAATGTCTCTTGTTTCAGAGAGCATCATGACCATCGTACACCTTTGCCTACGAATATCAATTCCCCTTAACTGGGAAGTATTAGGCAATATGCTGGTTATCAGCCTTCAGCCCCGCTCCCCTCCTCCACATTCCTCCTCCTCCTCCTCCTCCTCCTCTTCCTCCTCCTTATGCCTTCTTACTCCCCTTTCTTTTCCTCCTCTTTGTCTTTCTCCCTTCCCCTTCCTCTCTCTACCTCTTTCTCCTCCTCCTCCTCCTCCTCATCCTCCTCCTCCGCCTCATCCTCCTCATCCTCCCTCTCCTCCTCCCCCCTCCTCACTCCTCCCCCCTCCTCCTGCTCCACGGCACGGCCTCAGCAGAAACCGCGGCCTCTTCAGTGGACCCGGCCGAGCAGAAGGCCCCCCCCCTGGAGTCGCCGCTGCTCTCCGGCGCCGCGCCGATGCCCATGCTGACGGCGGGGCCGGCCAGCCCCTGCTTCCCTCAGGACGCCGCTGCTCTCGCAGGGGGCAGCGCCAGGGGGGGGATGGGCTCGGGGGGGGGGGCGCCCCGGCCCCCCCCCATCGCCCACACTGGCTGCCGACGGGGGCCCGACGGCCCACTCCCCCGCCCGCCCAGGTCCGCGCGGGTGTGCGATCGGGGGCACGTCGCCGAGCTACAGGCCCTGTTTTTGGCCGGTCTGAGCTCGGTGTTTCTCCCCCTGAGCCTCAGAGGAGGAAAAGATACCAATACCTCTACCCTGGCCCTTCCCTCGCTTTCCCCTTCTTGGGCCTCCGCGGAGGCCCTCGTCGCCACCGCTGGATTCGCCTCGAAATTCGAGTCAGAACGCACCCTGGGAGAGGTCCAGGGAGTAGCGGTATCGGTACTTGTTGGTCTCTTCAGAGCCGGGCTTTCCCCGCCCCGCGGGGATGGAGGAAGGTGAGGCACCCAAACAGGGGCGTTCGCGGTGCGGTCGGGCTCGGCTGAGTCGCAGTCGGTCGCGTTCGGCCAGGGTGGCTCGGTGGGCCTGGGTGCGTCGTGACTTCGTCGCTGCGCTCTCCCAGGTGGTTGCCTGCGGCGTCTCGGTTTCGGTGTTGCCCTCAATTCGGTCGGCTTGTGGTCGTGCCGTCGCCGAGGACGTTTGGGGATTTTCCTTTCTTGGGGCGTCTTGGCGGCGCGTCGCCGCAGCTGGAATCCTCTCGGAGTTCGGATCAGGACGCAGCCCAGGAGAGCTACGATAGTTTCGCCTCTTGGCGACAGGCGGCGACCCCGCCGCCGGCATCCAACGTTGAACGCCGCCAGCGACCCAGAATCGGTCGATGTTGAACGATCCGACGTCTCGGAAACTGCCGATCGTTCAAGCTTGAGCGATCCCCGCGGTGTCGGCAACCAACGCCAGGGGTCGACACGACACGAATCCGCGGCATCTGGATCCGATCTGAGGGGGAGCGCGCCCAGACCTCTGGCGACGTGTAGAGTCGCGTCACGCCGGAGGTCTCCGCGATTTTCGGCGACCAGGGGAAGCTTCGGGGCCCCCTGAGCCGTAGCAGCGGTCACTGGGGATGAAAAGCCCACCCAGGGAAGGGGGCCGAGAGTTCCCATGGCCGGCGGCTCGACAATTACAGACCGAGTCGTCGTTTGGGGTTGCTCCGAGAGCACCCGCGTACGATCGCGTGACAGCGCCCCCCCTTCCCTCCTTCTGCGCGTGGTGTGCTGCGTGAGCGGCCCGTGCAGCCACGCTTGAGCCCCTTCTCTTCGGCGCTCCTTGCCTTGCAGCAGGCCTGGCGCCTCTTGCCGCTGGTGGCCGATCAAGGGTGTCCGCGGTTCGGACGGCTCGGCTTCGTCGCAGTCGATTGCATTCGGTCGATGCGGTTCGGTCGGTTATTGCATCGCTGCGACCACCCAGGCTTCAGTTTGTCCTTCGCTTGTCAGTTCGGGTTACGCTGTCGGTTCGGTCGGTTTTCTTAAACCCTTTTTCCTTTTTCTTGTTGTGATTCGTTCACTCCTATTCTCCCCCAGTCTTTCTCCTCCCTCTTCCCCTCCCGCACGATCCTCTGGGGCCCCATCCCCCCCTCCGCTCTGCCTCCCCATCCCTCCCCCTCGCCCTGCCTCTGAGGGGGTGGTGCCGATAATGATGACACCGGCGAGAAGGACGACGAAGACGGGGAGCAGGATGGGGACGACACGGAGCTGCAGAAGGACGACGACGAGGACGACGAGGACTGGGGAAGACGCTGACGTGGACGAGGACGACGACGCCGACGAGGAGGGCGGCGACGAGGACGACGAGGACGGGGAGCAGGACGGCGCCGACGACGCGGCGATCGCGGGTGAGGAGGACGCCACGCCGCCGCGCTCCTCCTCCTCCTCCTCCTCCTCCTCCTCCTCCTCCTCCTCCTCCTCCTCCTCCTCCTCCTCCTCCTCCTCCCCCTCCTCCCCCTCCTCCTCCTCCGCCTCCGCGGCCCCAGGGCGGCCCCCCTCCGCCGCCGCACCCGCAGCAGCCGCAGCCGGGGCCGCCGCCGCCGCACCCGCAGTGGCCTCCGCGGGCGCCGCCGGCGGAGGCGGGCGGCCGCCCGGCCGTTCCGCCGCCGCCGCGGCCGCCGCGGCCGCCGCCGCCGCCGCCGCTTCCGCTCGTCATCGTCGTCGCCGTCGTCGTCGTCGCCATCGTCGTCGACGTCGTCGTCGTCGTCGTGGTCGGTCCCCTGTCCGTCCCTCTTTGGGTCGGGTCGACGGACGGTCCGCAGCCGCCCCGCCGATCAGCGCTGCCGCTGGCCAGGCCGACGGTCCGCGGCCGCCCAAACAATAGCCCTAACAAACAATGTTCTAAAACCTTTCGTGGTTCCCACGGACTGTTCTTGGAGCATTTCCGCCTGGGACTGTCTTGCTTGAAGACATCGGGTTTATGCTCTGAGAACACTGCTTTTGTTTTTAGAACATTTTTGGGTTCTGAGAACCTTTCGTGGTATGACTATAGGAATGCCGGGACGGTCGGTCCCTGCTCAAGCGGTTGCCGCCGACGGTGCCGCTCCAAAAACGCTTCCGGGATCGCTTCGCTTAAGTCGGGCATGTCCTCTACAGGGGGGATACTCGGGTCAAGACATCGCCTGGGGAAGTTTTTTCGATTCTGCTTTTGCCGATCGGCGCGGGCCCTCGCACCCCCTCTCCCCCCCCATGGAGTAGATCTTTGTTGTGCCTGTTTCAGGCAGGTGGGGTCTCCCCCATAGTAGACGCCCTGTTACAAACAGTCGTACCAAGCAGAGATCCGGAGCCAGAACCCCCTCCATTCCCACCCCCCCTTCCGGCCAATGTCGAAACGCCGAGCAAGAAAATTTTCACCATTCCGCCGGCCCATATTGCATCACTGTTGATGTGTCGGAACTTCTCGTTTGTTTCGGTTCCAACTGTTTTGTCTTGGAGTGTTCCTGGATCGCCCCGCCGGTGCCGGGGGGGCATTGTTGCGGTAAGAACGAATGCCACCCGAGCGGCCCGGCCCATTTCTCATGAGACATCGTCGCAAGTCTGCGTTCCGAGACGACCAGATTTGACATGGTCCAGCCCGTTTCGCTTGAAACGTTCTCGCAATTCTGGGTTCCCAGACGATGCGCGAGAGGTGGTCTGGCCCATATCGCTTGAAACATCCTCAGAACATTTGGGCTCGGGGATACCATGGCATGAGGTTGCCTTGTCCGTTTCGCTTGAGGCATCGTCGCTACGCTGAGCTTGAAGATGCCGCCCGCGAGGTGATCTGGTCAGTTTGGCCTGAGACGTCACCGCAGTTCTTGGCAAAGAGATGCCGCGTGCGAGGGGGTCCAGCTTGTTTCGCGTAAGACGTCTCCTCAATACCGAGCAATTGTTGAGGAGTGAGAAGCGAAGAAGGAGTGCGAGGAGGAGGAGGAGGAGGAGGAGCAGGATGATTGAGGACGAGGGGGAGGAATGATATTGCTCGTAATGCTGTCAGACACGTGCTCTTGTTCTCAATGCGCTCGGGACACTTCTCGTCGCCAGGGCTGGACGCGGCTCGATAGTTTTTTTGATGAGAGTTGGTGCTCTGTCGACGAAGGGTGTGTCACGGGCCCGTTCGCGCCCAGATTGTGACGCGAGTCATGGATTCGGGCGGGCGTTGTATCATGGCGACGTCGGCAACGGCAGGAACGAGGATGATAGTAGCGATGCTGGTGACGATGATGACGATGACGACGGCAAGGCCACTTACGGCGCCGATGCCGATCACGCCGATGACGATGATGGTGTCCACGTGCCGGCGGTTGAGTTTTGTCGGGGGGGTCGACATGCGCGCGTGGCCGACGCGCGAGGGGGCCCGCTTGGGATTATTTTACAGGGAACGTCCCCCCCCGGAACGTCCCTCCCCCCTCACCCCCGCAGCAAGCGGGCAAAGGCGTCCGAAGGACTCCGATATGCGCGCGCGTAAAGCCCGCTTGGTCGCATGTGTGCATATGTTTGAACACCTATGGCTGTTGCAAAACTCGCAGGAGCGCGCGAGCAGAGGTTGTTGAACTGGCACGATGCAAAGACAGCGGCATCTCGACATGTGTTCGAGGAAGTCGATTTTGAAGCCCGTACGAACCCAAGGTTGTTGGATACGTTCGGCATGCGCGCGCGTCAACGCGCGCGCGCGTGGATTCGGTCACATTTCTGGGGCAACGGGTTTTTGAAAATTCTAGACGCTTCGCGTATCCCCACCAGCATTTAGTCGCGGCCGTAGCCCGCCCGCGACCTCCCGCCGCTGGCGCTTCCGCATGCGGCTGTAAAAAAAAGTATCCCCACCAGCACGTGGCGTCCAGCACGCTCGACCGCATCCTGGACCAACACTCCTCCAGTGTATACCCCACCGCACCAGTCAAGCGCGCAGCAGCAGCAGAAGAGCAAGCGGAAAGCTACGACATCAGTGTCTACCTCTCCCCAACTGGCGTCAATGCAGCGGCCAAGGACACGTATTCAAGGCAATCGGCCACACGGGACGAGCTCACCCCCAGCGGCAGGGAGCACGACAGCGGTGCAGGGGAAAGCAGCGAGCCTGACAAGGCTGGCCGCGACATCGAATCCCTGTTCCCCGACGCTGCCCCGCCAAAGCGCCGCGTTCTACCAACCCACTCCACCTTCAGGCTCACCGGGGTGGAGTCCGACGGCCCCACACGTTCCTTGGTGAAGTACCTGCTGAAATGGAACCGCTCCGTCTACAAATGTTGGGCGGATTTCGTGCTGCAGCTCGGTGCCGGGATCTCAGGGGACAAAGCCGACGAGGGGTCGTGGCCCCCGGCAAGTCTGCTCCCTTTTCCTGGGAATGGTTTACGGGGATACGATCCCGAACGACTGTCACCCCGCCGACATCCCATGGGACGGGCAACGGGCCGCGGTGGCACGAGTGGTCTACCACCTAACAAAATCCAGCGGGAAGTACGAAGACATGTGGGGCGGCTACGCTGCCATCCTGACCGAGCAGAGAGGACAGCGCCCCCTCCGACAGCGGACCAGCACACAGTTGACATT